AAATTAATAAAAATATAGATCCATATAAAACTAGTATTTTCAGAGCAGTAAAATGAAAGTTTAAAAAGTACAAAATACAATAAATAATATTTAAATAATTAATAAAATGTAAAAAAAAAATACTTATTTGATGTTTTATAAGATAATTGAGTTTTATTTTGAGGTTATATTGGTAAAATATAAGCCTGTTACACTCTGTTTCATATGATAGAACTAGAACATGTGTGTTCTACTTGGTCCTGCTTTGTTTCAGTCGGTCATACATAAAAGTCCTGCCAAACATGGAACATAGATTTATGTTCTAATCTATCATGTCTTGTTCGGTGTACTAAACACACCCTTATTCATGAGATGGACAATCTCTCTCTCTCTCTGTGTGTGTGTGTGTGTGTGTGTGTCTATATATATATATGTGTGTGTGTGTGTGTGTAATTCAGGGAAAAAAAATTCTTTTGTTAATTGAAAAGTGTATTAGTTATATATTTCTAAAACTGTGTGTCTTTTTAATTGTGGACATTTACTTTGAGACGGAAATAGTATATTGGCTACAAGTTGTTACTTTGAATATATTACATAATTTTGTATCACGGTCCGTTTACAGGCCTATAAATTGTATAAAATCATAAGAACTTTTATAGGTTTGAGTTATGATAAGAAGTGTAAGAAGAGATATCCACAATTGGATGCACATTAAGATAAGACACATCGAAATGTACCGGATCAATCCTCGTATCAATCACGATTAATGAGTGAGTTTGAAATTAAAAGTGATCAAAGGTTCAGATCCCTTTTTACGTTTCTATATTAACTTTCATACTCGCACAATCTTTTGCCCTGTTTAATAATGGTGTCATGTAGTATACATGGACATAAGGGTTAGTTATTTGGAAACTCTGTATATTATGATAACTGTGAGAACTAAAGAAAAAAATAACTTTTTCTGTGCAATTTATTTTGCTTAAATTTTATTTATTTCTCGTATTTCTTAAATAAAAAATATAGGGGGATTGATGTTTTTAAATTAAAAAAGTATTCTTGTAACCATTCATTTTAATACATCCGTTAAATCAATTAATCTAACGTCTATTAAGATGTTTTTAAAATTTTCATTTATTTAGGATTGAACCTCGATATATGTATAGGGCGTTTATTATACAAATCAATCACACTATTAATAAAAACCAATCATAATCGTTTATCTGATTTAATGAATATTTCGATATGTGAAAATTTCAAATTAACATGTTACATGCATAGCTTGCCAAACCATACATGTGCATATTATGATGAAGTATACTATTTACCATTTTTCTAGCTTAGTTCATAATATTAAAAGTAATTGTTTTCGAAGTTTAATATACAAGAAGACCACCAAAATTTAAAAGAATTTCAAAAATGCCACTCAATGGCTAGAGGCATATAAAAAACAAATTCAAGTGGTGGCATCGTATCACACAACAAAACATAATCATGACACTATTAATAATTATAATTTTTGCATTACGTCAGAACAGTTTTTTGACGTGCAAGACCTCACTGAGGGGTTGTTTGTTTACCTCTTAATAGTTCTATTAATAGGCAACAACTGAATCGTTAAAAGGTGAATCTTGTTTGTCAAAAAAAAAAAAAATCTACCTCTTAATGGTTCTAAAACCCTCTGAATGAGTTTGTATCCTGGATCTCCCTTAACCATTAAGAGTCCTAATTTCATTGTACACAATTACCAAACAATTATATCTCATTTTGCACTATACCATGAGAGTCTCTTAATCATTCTAACCACTTAATTATTCTGCACCAAACCATTTAGCAATTGCCAAACAAGCACAAAAAATGGATGACCTTATTTAACGTTTTTATAGTTGGATGATATTTTTAACGATTGAACTTTTTTTTAAACAGATGTGATTTCTGCAAAAATGGAGGGGGCATATTGCAAGATAGGAAAATCGTGAAGGGCCAAGAACACAAATTGATCAGAGAAAGCAACAAATCAGCAAAGAATCTATGTGCCTTCAAAGTTTTTCAAACCCTAAATTATTATTTATAATAATATTGGGAGAAAAGGGGAAATATAATGCCATTCATCATCTTCGGAGCTTATCTGTTAATTGCGTAATTACATCCTCTCGCTATCTTTCTCTCTCTTTCCACCTGAAATTTCAGACGCTTTGGTTAATTGGTTACCATTTTCGCACACAAGAGCTTGATCGTCTTTTGTGCTTCGTAAGTAAAATGCAGGTGGGTTTTTAACTCCTTTTTGATTCTTATACCCTTTTAAAATTTGAGTTTCTATGAGTAATTTTTGTCGAGATTTTCAGAAATTTATGTTTTTCGTTTGAATTTATTTAAGACAAGAACGGTACACGTAGGACATCTTTCAGATCTAGCTACCGAGAGAGAAATTCACGAGTTTTTCTCTTTTTCTGGTGACATCGAGCACGTTGAGATCTGCCGGTTCGTAATTTCAATATCAAGTTTGAAAGTGATTTAAGTTTTTAGTATTACTATACACGTTGTCCTGATTTTGATTATTTTTGAGGGTTGTAGTGATTCAGAACAAAAGAAGACTGCATTTGTCACGTTTAAAGATCCAAGGGCTCTTGAAATTGCATTATTGCTATCGGTAATCCCTCAATTTAATTTCCCCCCTATTATTGAAGTACCAAGATGTCATCTGGTGATATGATTGGGCAAGATTTTGATGCACTAAAATAATTCTTCCTCTGTTAGTTGTAACTTTATTTACCAAAGTTATATTCATTATTTAGTTTTTAGGGTTTTGACATCGATTCTTTTTTGTATCTAGAATATCGTAAATTTCGAAGCAATTATGGGGTTTTTTCTTGAAAAATAAATATATGAAAAGGAGTCTGAATTCAGATTTCTAAATTTGAAGATTTGATGTTCCTGAAGTACCTTATCTTTTTTTCTTTTAAGATAATTTGCAAAAACGTTCAAAAACTGCCTTTGGATTCCATTTAAATGAAGTTAACTATATTTTTGGGACAGAGGGAGAAAATTCTTATTGGAGATATTCCTTTTATATTGAATATCTTCCTATCTCAATGACTTATGTTTGAAATTTATGCACACAATTATTGAGAATATACAAGAAGTTCTATAATTCTATTGCAATTTCTTGGAAATTTGGAATCTCCAACAGTATTTGCAACTTTGCAATTACTAAGTCAACAAACTACGACCACAGAGAATCGTGGCTGCGTATTCATTCCACTTTGCCCAGCGGAGACTCTTGGGTCCTACTTTGGGATAAATGGACAAAATTCCAAATTTCCACGAAGCAAAGGATTAATTATATTGGAACTGTTTTTTTCTGCTGATCAGCCTTGCGTTTGTCTTTATGCTGGATGAAACCACAAGTTATGATTAGTTAGTAATTATCATTGTTTATGCACATCTTAGGCCCACTATTACCACTAATTAGTTGTCTCTTGATTAATTTGAACACTTCTTGGTTATGGTTTTAGATGCCTGGCTGCTAACTTAAAGCAGTTGGGTTTAGTTGGATTTTAGTGGGTATTTGTTTATACCCTATTAACGTTATGACATTTCAGCATCATCCTATATTCTTTAATCTTTTTAACGTTTTGCTTCCTAATTGTATATCGGTTTTCAAGGTTTAGAGCTGAATAGTCACGAACGCAAACATAAACTTGCATGTGTCCATTATACTTGAGCTCAAATAATGTTTTCAAAAGAGTGCTTGAGCGAGCTCGAATATTTTTAGAAAATGTTCAAGCTTGAGCTCGATGCTCGTTTAACAATTGTGAGTTACACATTATAACCTAAAATTCAACCCCTATAACCTCGTTTATGTGCTCGACCTTGAGATTGATTAACATTTGTTGATTCCAGCTCGAAGCCTAGTGTTAGCAGCAACTTTTTTATTATATATTTTTATTGTATGCTATATGAATATATGGACTCGTTTGGCTAAAAAGAGTGTATGCTCGTATGACTCGACTTGTAGTCGAGCTTTTGGACGAGTCGAGTGGAACATTAGTATTGTGGAGATTGACTTTTTCAGTTAAAATGAGTTCTCTTTTGTGTTCAAAATAGACTCGAGCTCGAGAATTTCTAAGCCTGAACTCGAGATAACGAACTTGAGCTCAAGTAGCTTGTTAAATGCTTGAACCATCAACAACACCCCTAAACAATGGTTTGAGTCATGGGTCATTTGTTTGGAAGGAAAAGGGCCTGCATAAGACATAAGTTGGGGTGAGGTGATTATCCTGAAATATGAAGGATCTAATTCTTTGGAACATAGATGCTTGGCCTAATTCGTGTGTTCTTCAATTGAAAATAGCAGTTTGGCTGTCACTTTAAGAGTGCTTAGAGGAAATGGATGTATATTCATTTGGCTTTTGGAGATGGGATTATTGAATGAAAAATAAAAGAATAGATATCGCCATACTTAAAAATGAGGTAATCCTAATAGGCATGAATTCATCACAGCTAACTGGATGGTAGAGAGGAGATGAATGGAAGAATTCGTGGTTTTACATGAGTTGTGCTTGCAATGCTGATACCGTTTTGTGGGGTGTATTATTTGTTGGCTTGATCTGTTTATTTAAAACATATATGACATAGTTGCATCTCCATCATCTTAAAAGTAAATGTGGGGTCATGTATATTGTATTATAAACAGGAAAATATTATTTATTGACTTTATTAGTCAAAAGGTTCCTTTTTATGCCATCAAACTTTTAAGACAACTTGTTATCTGTTACAACTCCAATACCATCAATATATTGAAGATTAGATTCGCAAATTGCAATCACTATTGCATAATGTGTGGGCATTCTTGATCCATTTGTTTCTAGATGGAGTTTACTTGCATGCAAAAGATAACAAGCCTGGTCATGAACAACCTGGTTGGAGCCATGATCTACCCATTAGACAGGTAGTTGAGTTCATTAGGGAATTGAATTGCAGGAAGCTAGTTTCTTGATCCTTCCTTCCCAATCAATGCTAACTCTTATCTTCCTAAATCGCATTGTATGATTCGAGCAGAACAATAGCTCTTATCTGCTCGATACACGAGTGGGGTTTCCCCTCTATGGTGACTGGACATATATATTTTTCTTATAATTTAGTCTCTGAGAATGAATAATAACAAAGAACATTTTGGAGTCTCGGGCATGCTACCAAGTCAATTTTGCTGGAATGCTTGTAAAGGCATTTAAAGTAGAGGTTAATTGACCCCGGGAGTGGTAGTTATAATTCTTGTATTTATATAAAGCAGATTTACAACATTCTATCTCATGAAGTAGAAAGTTATATATTATATGTATGTTTTTACAGGGAGCAACCATTGTGGATCAGATTGTTAGCATTACTCCTGTGGAAAATTACGTGCCAAAACCTGAGTTCCGGGTATGGCTATTACTGACTATATAAATCTATTTTTTTCTATGGTAATTGGGACTTATGCTGTGATGCCACTTCTTGCAGGAAGTTCGTGTAGTAGATAATGCTGTGAGCATGGCTCCAGAAAATCATTCACCGAATGCTGAGGTAATAGCTTACACAGTGACACACATGACTCTCACCAACTTCCTAATGTACAATGCTGTCATGTTATTTTGGAGAATATAAGATGTGAATTAGAACGATATATCGCTGACAAAACTAAACGAGTAACCAGAAATGATATCTTATCGTCATATATTTCCTTGAGAATATGTGGATTAGTCTATGAAATCAGGGCCTTGTAATATATGAAATTGACCAGGTAACATACTAACATTGAACTCCCTACCTGTTAAACAGGGCAACGGTACATCTCCTCGCAGTGGTAGAGTGTACATGAGTAAAGCACAGGACGTTGTTTCAAGTGTTCTGGCTAAAGGTTCAGCAATTAGGCAAGATGCCGTGAATAAAGCTAAAGCGTTTGACGAAAAGCATCAATTAAGAGCCAATGCATCTGCTAGGGTGAATTCCTTTGATAAGAGAGTAGGGCTTACAGAGAAACTTAGTGTTGGGGTTTCGGTTGTAAATGAGAAGGTCAAGTCTGTGGATCAGAGGCTTCAAGTGTCGGACAAAACAATGGCTGCACTATTGGCGGCTGAGAGGAAACTAAACGATACAGGATCAGCTGTCAAATCAAGCAGGTTTGTCGAGCTTCCTTGCCCTCTCTTGGTTTTTCTTTACTTTCTTCTCTTTTTCTCAGTTACTTGTTCAATGTTCTTGTAATTTAGCATCTTGATGAGGTAATTTGCAAATTGCTGTCTACAATTACAAATATGTTCGAGAAACATGGGGTAAATTGGTAATTTAAACACCATCGATCTTGAGAATGCATTAAAGATGCATCTCAAGTGTGAATGGCTGTGCACCCAAATTGCATATAAAAATCTAAGCAGTAAATAGTCAGAAGTGACCTTCAAGATCCACCTGGTGTTCTGCAAAATGCGGCCATTAAACAGGACATTGGGAATGAAAGTAACATTTTCTCCCTTTGCCTTGTGAAAACCGCTACACTTTTCTTTTTTGGAATGTCCCATCAAATTGCAATGTTTTCTTCTTTATCAAGTTTTTATAATGAGATCATTAGTTCCCCATTGTCATCATCACTAATATTCTGATATGGATCTGGTTTAACAAGATTCCCCTATCTTGTCATTATTGAGGGATATCTATTATTTATCTTGTTGGGCTAATAGTATTATTATGTCTCTTAAACTATGCTTTTAAGTGTTGAAATGAGACGATTAGCCATCATACTGAAACTTGAAATACTGTCTGTTCCATGTGGTGACATGGATTGTTAATAAAACTTTCAAATTGGTTCGTCTTGGATGTGTTTAGGTATGTGACTGCTGGATCAGCTTGGCTGAACGGAGCTTTTGGTAAAGTGGCAAAGGCTGGGCAAGTTGCAGGAACGAAAACTAGACAAAAATGGAACTTGGCAGTGTCAAATTTAACTGCAAAGGTACCTATTTTCCATTATAGTCCCAAAAATGCAATTACTTTACTTATTTCATCTTTTACTTCAAGCAAGTTACCATTAGTTACTGTTAAAAAACTAACAGAATGATGCCTGATTTTATGCGCCAAACCTTTTGATAAATTTATATCAGTGCGGTGCTTGATGTGGGTTTGTTTTAGTTAATAAAAATCTTACTTTTATGAGCATAATATGAAATGCACAAGCTTTACTTCTTCAACACAGTTTACATTATGAATACATACACATAAAGGAATCAATTACTTTAAATCCCAAATGCATGTGTTGTATTTTTACTTGTATATTATATATTTTAGTTTAATTAGAAATGTTGATAATATTTCTCTGTGCAAATTGTTTTGAAAAAGTTGTACATTGTGCAATTTCATCAGCATTCTCATACATACGAGTTTTTTTTTTTTTTGAATAGAAGTGTCACATCAACATTGATTTGTGGAAAATTTTGGCACATAAACACAGCATCACTTGATTAGAAGTAGAGAGTAACGACATAGTTTCTAAACTGAAAGAACCATATAGCATACGACTATATGCTTGATGCCCTTTTCTGCTTTCCTGAATTAGCAAATGAATTGTGGTTTGCAGGATTCACCGATTGCTGCATAAGCAGAGTTGATAGATGTTGATGATTATGGATGGGTTCTCAATGATCAGAATGATAATTGAGATCTACAATTAGATGTGTGTCCTCTAGTAAGTAAGTAAATGTTTGTGGGTATGGGCAGTTTTGTGATTCATTTATTAGTTAATTGTTGTGTAAACCTACTTACCTTCCTGAGGGTATTGAGCCTTAAGGTCCTGTAATTTTCAAGTGTGCAACTGCAAGTCATGATGTCAACTCCATTTAAAACTCAAGTGTAAGGGTTCATTTAAGACTAGTCTCTTTTCTTTTTCTTCTTTTCAGAACTGAATCTCCCAAGTTTGGAGTATTGATGTACTACTTACACCTTTAATGCATGATATACAAGTGATTATAGTACCTTGGCCTCGAAAATGTGATTGGCTTTTTCTTTGGTCATCTCTTTTCTTTGTATCATTTCCAATTTAGAGATGGAACTGATTATGAAAGGTCCCTTAACCGGCTAGGCGGCTACTGGTCAAAAGGTATCACCACCACATAACCAGCTACATTTCTAGGCCGAAATATGAAACCGATAAGGATCCGTATGAGTGATAATTGGTCCGCAAGCCTCTGTCTACTCTAACTGGTTTATCGACCAGGTGGTGTTTGAAAACGTTCTTAACGGGTTAAGTTGTTTGAGATTAGCATGTTTGCTTGATTTCTATGGGTTTGGAATGATCTCAATATTTTACCATATACTACTTGTTAGAAATATGTAATTGATGATGGATGATGACTGATAACTGAAAATATGTATTAAATGCAACATGACATATCTAATGCATATGGGCCCATGGAATATGTAGGAGGAGACCATATGTTCACTCCTTGCTGAACGACATTATACCACATGAGAATATGAAACAAGTTCCAACGTTTCTAGACATCAACTTTTCAAACAGACAAATGTTTGTTCCTCGTATTAACGGTTCATACATTTCAAATGTTATTTAACCTACATATCACAAGATATATTCTAACGCATATATAAGAAGATATATTGTTTACACTAAAGGGATGTTTGACAATTGCTGAATGATTAAGTGATCAGAATGATTAAGATACTATTATTATATAGTGCAAAATGAAATATAATTGTTTGGTAATTGTGTAAAATGAAATCAAGGCTTTTAATGGTTAAGAGAGATTCATGATACGAAATCATTAATAGGGTTTTAGAACTATTAAGAGACATACTTTTTTTTTTGTCAAACAAGATTCACTTCTTAACGATTCAAAAGTTGTCTTTTAATGAAACTATTAAGAGAAACAAACAACCCCTAACTTTTTATTGATTCTAGTTTATATTTCACACGGAATTGTATTTATTTCATAAAACTGATGATATCATGCATATCTTTTAAGTCATTATCTCATAAGTTATTTTGATAGATATGTGTTGTATCAAAGGTGTATAATCTAAGGGGTTTTTTTTTATTAAAATAACCATTTTATACAATATTTTGCCACAAAATAACCAATTTTTAGAGGTTTTGCGTTTTTGACCACCCAGATCTACCCATAGGGCGATCCGTACACATATGGGGCGATCCGTACTTTTTTTGGGGGATCCCCAATAGAATTATAATTTTTTTTAAAGTCGAGATTACTGTTCACCTCGAAGACCGGGTTGTCAGATCTACCCCAGGGGCGATCCAGGCTGTCAGATCTACCCCAGGGGCGATCCAGCATTTTAATATTTTTTTTTGAATTTTTTTTGGTATTTTTAATAAAACTGATACGCCATTTAAGTTGTGTTTTTTAACCTTTTTAGAACTAAAATTCATTGGTAAAGGTTTAAAAATAAACCATTATAATTATGGAGATGCAAAAATTATTTTTATCTGTTTTGGGTTTCGTAAATAAGATATAATATCTGATTTACGAAATTTGACCTCTATTTTGTTATTTTTTATTTAACAATTAAGGAGTGTTTTTAATAAAAATGAAAAAAATACATAAATTGTGTCTTTTTACCTATTTGATTTTAAATTTCATGGTTTTTCGGCATTGAATAAGACAATGGTAATTGTGGTTACGAAAAAAAAATTTAGCTGATTTTGGGAGAAAAAATCAGACATTATATCTGATTTTGCGGTTTTTCATGTTATAACACTCTATGACGTCGATGATATTATAACCTGTATACATATATACGTACATACATACGTGAAGATACGTAAATATGCGTACGGGTTTTAACCCGTACACATATATACAAATAAATACGCACGTGAAGATACGTAAATATGCGTACACATTTATTTAATTGTTAAATAAAAAACACAAAATAACAAAATAGAGGTCAAATTTCGTAAATCAGATATTATATCTGATTTACAAAACAAAAAACAGATAAAAATAATTTTTGAGCCTCCATAATTATAATGGTTTATTTTTAAACCTTTACCCATGAATTTTGGTTCTAAAAAGGTTAAAAAACACAACTTAAATGGCGTATCAGTTTTATTAAAAATACCAAAAAAAAAAATTCAAAAAAATAATATTAAAAGGCTGGATCGTCCCTGGGGTAGATCTGACAACCCGGTCTTCGAGGTGAACAGTAATCTCGAATTTTAAGATTTTTTTTTTAGAATTCTATTGGGGATCGCCCCATATGTGTACGATCGTCTTATGGATAGATCTGTGATATGTGTTGAGAATTTAACACATAACGCGCTTTTTTTACGTCTTTTTAGTTACGATAATTTCTTTTCATTCCCAAATTGAGTCATTTTCATTTATTTATTTATACTTTTGTTATTATGAAGCTAAATGTTGTGGTTGACTTAATGGCATGCAAAATTGAAGCTAATTAGGAGTTTTTGTGAAAACAGCAAATGCTACAGCATTGGTGCAGCGTTGGCCTGGGTCTTGCACGACTTTTTGGAGGGCTTAATGAACAAGACGTTGACTTTTTGGAGGTGGAGTACAGCTGTAAATGGGCTGGATTTTTAATAGAAAATCAGATGTACTCTCTAGTTAAACTCATGTACTCTCTAGTTTGCTTTATGTACTTTGTAGTTAAACTTTAGTTGTGTTTTGTACTTTTTAGTTAAAGCTTTTGTTGTAATGTAACTAGGTGTTGRTAAGCTTAGCCTCCAAGCTTTGTTCTTTTGTCTTTTTGTGCCCATTTTGGGTATAAATAGGAGGCTAATGTTACCACATTTTTCACCCAATTTTAATCCATCATACTTTGGATTCTCACTTTTCTCCCAACTTCTCTTCCTTTTCCTTTAAA